GTACATTGTCGGAAACCCTGGAGCCAGGATTTTGGGACCCCTTTAGGGAACTGCCAGGAACCCGCAACCCAGAACCTGGAACACGGGAACCCAGCCGGCTACCGAATTCGGCAAGGGACTTCCGCCAAATCCCTCAATAATCAGCGATGATCCCTTCAGTGCAAGCACTGATTGGGGAATGTGTTAGACATATCATGGGCCTCTTGGGGCCCTATTCTTGCGCTCTTGTGGCGTATTGTTTTTCGTTTAGCCATCTGGAGGCAATCTTGAGCGTCTCGGAGCGTTCTTGGGCCGTCTCGGAGCCACCTTGGCTCGTCAGAGGGGCCTCTTGGGGTTCTCTTGGCCTGTCTTGGGGCCTTATTGCCTCTCCGGGGGCCAGGTGGGGAGCGCTGATGAATTCTCGCCCCCCCCCCCCAACGGCATTTCGGACACCAGGGGAGGGGCACATTCGGGGGTGGACAGACCTCCTACCCTGACACGTCGATTAAGGAATTGGCCGTTTTCGGTTCGCGAGAGGGCGTCGCGGCCGTCATTTTTGGGGGTCCAGGTCCGTCGGTTTCGGTCCCAGGCCGTTTTCACTAAGGGGAGGTTTACTAAAGGGAGGTTTGTCCACCGCCGGCAAATGGGAAGGGGGCAGCCACTTCTCTCACACGCCATGGCACCCTTGGCCAGCGGGGGTCGGCGGATTCAGACCTCGGTTTTGGATTTCAGCATCTTCTCGGGTCTGTTGCGCTGGGCTGTCTCCTGGAGCAGACCTTGCCAGCACACGTGACACAGGTCGAATCCACTGCCACCTCAGGTGCCTACGCCGAATCACCGCCGCCCCGTGCCTCTTGGAAGCACCCATGCGGGCAAACGTTGGGCCGAAGTCTGGCCACGATATTGAACTATGTGTGCAGCCAGCTGTTGTGGAACCTGTTGGGGGAACACTGGGGCGAGGAAGAGAAAGGAGGATGACAAGGAGGAGAAGAAGGAGGAGGAGGAGGAGGAGCAGGAAGAAGAGGATGCCTCTTGAGGCCTCCTGGGGGCTTCCTGGGATCCGTTGTAGGGACTCTTGGGGTTCTCCTGGCGCCTCTTGCGGGCCGCTCTCTCTATTGCGGGCCTCCGGGGAGCCCTGTGGGACCTCCTGGCCGTGGGTGGCCGTCTCCGGGGCCCGCCTTGAGGCCGTCTAGGGGCCGCCTCCGGGGCCGTGTTGGGGAGGAGGAGGAGGAGGGGGAGGAGGGGGAGGAGGAGGAGGAGGAGGGCCTCCTGGGTTGGTCTTGGGGCCCTCTCGGGGCCGTCCTGCGGGCCTCTTGCCGGGGGCCTCCGGGAGCCTCCCGGGGGCGATCTCTTGGGGACCTCCCGGGCCCGTCGGTGGAGCGTCGGCCGCCCGAGGGCGCTGGCGTCATGCAGGATTCAATGGTCTTGGCTTCAGGAAATAAGCAAACAACAGCAAGAACAAGAAACAGTAAAACATAATAATACTACTGCTACTAAAAGTAATACTATTAATACTACTACTACTAATAAGAACAATGATACTAATAATAATAATACTAGTCGTAACACGAAGACTATATATATATGTATAATATATATATATATATATATATATATCTGTTTGTATACGTTTATATATATATAAAAACGTATACATATATTGGCTTTCTCGAGGTCCTCGTGGCTCCCTCCGTGGGGCGACTGAGGGGCCCCGGCCTTCGGGGTCCGTCCTGGACCCTCCCTGGGCAGTCGCGGCTCCCTCTTCTGGGCGCGGGGGGGCCGTCTCGGAGGTCGGGGGCCGTCCTGGGGCCATCCTACCTCGTGGGCCTCTGTCGGGTGTTGCCAGAAGTACCCCTGGCCCAAGGTGCCCCCAGGATTCTCGGGGTGGCCCAGGCGGCCTCCAGGGCCCCCCTCACGAGGCCGAGAGGGCCCCAGGGGTGCAAACATGGAGCGAAAGGCTGGGGGCACCTTGGGCCAGGGGCACTTCTAGCAACACCCGACTCTTGGGGCCATCTTGTGGCCCTCTGCGGCCGTCTCGCGGGCCTCTTGGGGGCCTCTTCGGCCGTCTCAGGGCGATCTTGTGGGCCCCTGGGCTTGTTTGGGAGCGTCGGAATGCCGAGAACGCTGACATCATGCCAGAAGTCAAAGGGAGGTCACGGATGTTGGCATCCTGGAGGTCCTCTTGGAGCCCTCTTGGATCATCTCTAAGGGACCTCTTGGCCTTCAGAGGCCGTCTTGGGCCCTCCATGGGCAGTCATTGGTCCCTCTTTCGGCGCTTGTTGGCCATCTTAGAGGTCACTGGGTCTGTCTTGTGGGCATCTTGGGCTGTCTTTGGGCCCTCTTGTGCCATCTTGCGGGCGTCTTGGGGGCCTCTTGGGCCGTCCTGGGGCGACCTTGTGGGCCGATGGGTCCGTCTTGGAGCGTCAGTAGCCCAAAAAGGCGAGAACGCCAAAATAATCTCAAGGGACATCTCACAGTTTGGCCTCCCGAACTTCCTCTTGGAGCCCCCTTTGGGCGATTGTCTGAGGGGGGCGACGAGGCCGTCTGGAGGATGCCTCGGGACATCTCGGGGCCATCTTGGCCAGCTTGGGGGCGTCTTGGGATCGTCTTGGAGGCCATCTTGGACCACCTTGGTCGTCTTGCAGGCCATCCGGGAGTCGTCTCTGGCGGGGAAACGCCGCCAAGGCCGCCAGATGTTCTGGGTGGCCGGCAGGTTGGGCCGAGACCTTGTTGGGGAATTCTTCGGACAAAAATTATCAAGTTCAGCACGCCAGGCAACCCTGTGATGAATCACCAGGGGGTTGTGGATCGAAGGCGCCCACGGCGAGTCACCGTCCCCCCCTTCCTTTTGGGATGCGTTTATGTGGCCAGACGTTTGGGCAATATTTGGCCACGCTATTGGACCATGCGTTCCCCCAGCTGTTGTGGAAGCTCTTCGGGGAACACGTGGTGGAGGAACAGGAGGATGCGGAGAGTGAGGAAAAAGGAGGATGAGGAGATGGATAAGGAGACCTCTTTGGAGCTTAATGGGTCATTATTGGGGCCTCCTGGTACAATAGCCTCCTGGGAGCCTCTTGGAGGTCTCTTGTGGACCTCCTGGGGCCTCTCGGGGCCCCTTTAGGGCTTCTTGGGGTCATCTTGGCCCCCTTACGGCGTTCCTGGCCCGTCTCACGCCGTCGGAAGCCGTCTTGTGAGCCTCTCTGGGCCGTCTTGGGGCCCTCTCGGGGCGCTTCAGGGTCGTCTTGGAGACAATCTTGGGCGTCTTGGAGGCGATCTTGGTCATGGTTTGGGGCCTCTTGGACCCTCCTGGGCCGTCGGCAGGCAGCTTTCAAGCAAAGGCCGGCCCGGATGCGATTCAACCCATGAGAGATTAACTTCCAGCCGCTTTCCGGGTGACCGGCGCGCTGGGCCGAAGCCTCGGATCAAAAACCATCAGACGTTCAGTAGATTGGGCACCCCTACGAACTGGGGGGCGGCGGATCACATGGCCTTCGGCCCATCCCGCCAACGTTTCTGGGTTGTGGGTCGAGGCCTCTCGGGGCCGCTTGGAGGCAGTTTTGACGCCTCTCTGAGGTGCCCTTTGACGTGGAAGGCTTCGTTTTTCGGTCCGTGTTCCCCCTCTGAGGCCCCTCTTGGGGCCGTCGTGGGACCCATTTGGGCCGTCTTGGGCGCATATTGGGCCGTTTGGGGCTCTCTTGGGGGCCCTCTTGGGGGCCCCTGGGGCCATCTTGGTTGCTTCTGTGGCCGTCTTCGGGGCCTTTTGGGATGTATTGGAGCGTCGGAGGTTTGAAAAGTGGAGAACCAAACGAGCATCCGAAAACCCTGGATGACAATCCATGAGTGTTGCCTCTTGGGGCTCTGTCGGGGAGGCTCTCGGATGCCCCTTGGGGCGTCTTGGACGCTGTCTCGGCTGACTGGAGGCCATCTTGGGCGTATTGGACCTCTTGGAGGCCTTTCGGGACCTTTTGGATGCCATCTTGCGTTATTCGGTGGTTTCGGCTTCTTCTAAGACATCTTGGGGGCCTTTTGGGACCCTCCTGGACCATCTTGGGGCCCTTGGCCCGACAAAAATCAATTTGAAACGGCGCCAGCTCCAGGACCCACGCAACACGCCCCGGGAGATTGGGCAAGTCGGGGTCGGGTCCTTGTAAAGAACCCCCAGGATGGAGGACTGGCTTGAGGGGTCAAGGCCAACTGCCTGAGGACACTCCAACTCGTGCCCCAAGGGCACGGTAGCGGATGTTAGTGTAGATGGTCATTGCCGCGAGCATGTGCTAGCAATTTATGCAACAGATTGGCTAGTCGGCACGTGTGGAGACGTGATTATCCTCTTTCTTCTCTGTTGAGTTGTGGTTTGCGTTTTGGCCCCTAGAGGCAGCAGCAACCAGCCCCGGCGCGAAACAAACATTCGGCAAAGGCGGAACCAAGAAACTTGAGCCCGTTCTTGCATGCTTTTTGCTGTCCCCTCCTCTTCCTCTGTCTTGCTCAGTCCGCTTCCGTCCTCCCCCTCTGTGGGGCCTGCAGCGCCCACTGGTTGCTTCTGCCCTCGCACGTGTGTGTGGTCAGCATGGGGCGCGCCCTGTTCAGGACTGGGATTGCTAATGGCGCTTCTCGGCCGTGTCGAGGCGACAGCTGGCAGACCGCCTCAGTGATACAAGCGCTAGGCCTGAAGGGTGCCGATGGTGGAGTTGGAAGGGGGGGCAATAGTGATGACGGTCGCGCAGTACTTAGTTGTCCACCACGTTGATTTTTCTGTTTTTTTTTGGGGGGGGGGCACGTGCGGAACCAGCGCTGCTGGACCACAAGCACTGCCATGTGTCGATATGCCAGCGATGCGTGGTGGCCACATGTGGTTCCTTGTCGATCTCGACATGCTGGCCTTGCCGAAGCAACGTTCCCCGCCTCACTTTCTTATCTTTCCAGCGAGTTGAATCCATTTCGATCGCCAGCGTTGGATCGTGGATATCGGGCTGATGGCTTCGAGAGTGCTGCAGTTGTTATCCGAAGTGGCGTCCCGCAAGGCGTCGTGGGATGTCTGATGAAAGGCGCTGACAGCATCGCCCTGGCTGCTTGCGTTCTGGCCTTAGTACTTCTCCGGCGTGGGCATAGCATGCGCTTCAATCGTTGGCAGGTGGCAGCGCGCGCGTTTGAGACTGGCAGGCTCGCGTCGTGGAGATAGAGGTGCCGGAAACTAATAAATCATTGTGACGTGATGCAACCTATGGTCAGCAACTCGCGAGATGCGACCCATAGGGTGCAATGTCTGTGATCAAACTGGTATGGTACAACCTATGGGGTGCACCGTATGTGATGAAACGGATGGGTTTGAATCTGTATTGTGCAACCTATGGGGTGCAACCAATGGGGTGCAACCAATGGGGTGCAACTAATTTCTGTTCGCAGTGAGTTGTCCACTCCACTGCTCGCGCAATCTTCCCTCCCATCCACCCGCAACTCAGTATGCAAAACCCATGCGGCGGCGATTGCGATGAATGCTTGGAGTTGGCTTGTAAATCTCTGCGGCCGAACTAGCCCGCGCATGCTCGTGCCCGCAGCGGCCAGATAGTTTGGCTCTACCGACGCGGCCGCGATTGTGCTGACCGCTGGACACTTCTCAACGGGCACTTCAGTGCGAGTCGGCGACTTGGGCGGGCGCTATATTATGGCAACGTCGACAATGGTGAACGCGATGATGATGGTAGCGATGCTGGTGACGATAATGACAACGACGACGGCAAGGCCAGTGACGGCGCCGATGCTGATCACGCTGGCGACGATGGCGGCGCCCCCGCGTCGGTGATGAAGCTTGTGGGGGGAGTTCGGCATGCGCTCGCGGCCGACGCCCGAGTGTAGCCCGCATGGTACGCCACGGCCCGGAGACCCCCCCCCCCAGCACGCGCGCAGGGTCGTTCGAACGGTTTGTGCGGTCGCTGCGCGAGGAGCCTGTTTGGCAGAACTTAGGTGACAGATTGAGGAACGCGTGGTTGTCTGGAGCGCGGCCGCGGGCATTTTTGAATGCTGAGGTCGCAGAACCATGTTTTGTTGTGTTGTCCGGGCACTCGTTGTGGACATTTCTACGGCACCTGCAGTTGGACCCGGATTTCGGCAGGCGCGTGCGACGACGCGCGCGCGCGTGCACGCCTTTCCTTTTGTGGTTGCATATGATGGCGACAGCATCCGCGCAAGGGCGTGCTTGCGACTCCGACACGCGCGGGCGAGAGGCCCGTCCTGTCGCACATGTACAGAAACACATGGTGTCCTCAAAACATCGCAGGAGCGCAGGCGCAGGTGTCCTCGAAGACCGAGTTGCAACCCCAGCTGGGTGTTTATATGGTCTCGGGACACTCGATTTCGAGTGCTCTGCGACACTGACGATGTTTGAAGGATGTTGGCACCCGCGCGCGTCGACGCGCGCGTGTGCACTTTGTCCCATCATGTGCAAGGGGTGTTGTGCAAGGGACGAGTGCGCACGCATAGCTTTTTGCAGAGGATGAGAGGGGGGATGCTAGTCAGCCTGAGATTGTGTGAGTTTGGATTGGAGATAGACGATGGAGCCTGATCGGATGTACATTGGAATGCGAAACGGGGATTCGTTAAGCTCGGGGGATCGATCTTCATGTTTTTAAACCAGCGAGTCTATGAGCACATATGGGATACCACTTACGGGGTAAGATCCGCTCGGTCCTACATGAAAGTTGAAAGTGTTGAAGTGCAGCGGACGTTTCGCAACTCTGACGAGAGAACCTGCGGGTTGGAACATGCGGGTTCCAATCCATGAGGTCACGCTAGGGGCGCAGCTGCTGGGGAGCATCTTCCTGGGAGCAGCCTGTCGGTGCGGGACCCTGACGGTGGTGCTTTGCGGACGGGGCCCTCTGGAGCATTCTGGGCAAGACTCTGCGGCCTGGAAGGGCATCCGTGCGTTCGTGAATCTGGGTCTGCGTTTGCCGCCGGTTCCGGGCTCCTGGGGTCGTGCGCATCTGCATGCCGTCGCGGCCCTGTACAGTAGGGGTCTTGAAGAAGGAACCCTTTCCGTTGGGGAGGGGCTCGATGTTTTTTAATTGTTTCACAGCTTGCCTCAGGTTTTCCTTAGGTTTTCGACAGGAAATCGAAGTTCGACTTGTGGTAAATAGGGGCCTCGTTCCTTATTTAGGGTTCCTTAGGTCAAGGCCTCGACTGTAATGCCTTCTCCCGGCATGCGCACCTTTGCGCAGACTACGGCGCGCGCCTCGCCTGCTCCAGCCTGTCGCGACTGACCAGGCGGCCACGTCGGTACTGTTGCGAAGGCCCTACGGCCGGGGCCGCCAACCCTGGAGGCCCGGACTCTCGACGCGAATTGGTGCGCAGTGGATGGCGGCTTGGGCCGATGGGGGGCCCTTTGGGAGTCCTTTTTGGGTCTCCTGGGGGCCATGGGTGATGGCCTAAGGGCGTTCTGGGAGGCTGTCTGGGGTGGGGAGGAGTTGGGACTGGCGCGCTGGAGGAGGAGAGGCCAGGGCGGGATCGCCAGGGGGAGATGGTATTCTGGGTCGGGACCCCCCCCACCCACAGACCCGGGAGCCCCCAACTCCCCCCGTTTCGTTGTGACTTGCGCGCTTGAGGAGGAGAGCCCAGGGAGGGATCGCCAGGGGGGGATTGTATTCTGGGTCGGGACCCCCCCTCCACAGACCAGGGACCCCCCCCCTTCCGGCGGGGAAGGGATCAAAGGGAAGGGGCTTCCATTCGACTCAACTACGACGTTGTTCAATTTTGCTGTGACTGGTGCGCTTGAGGAGGAGAGCCCAGGGAGGGATCGCCAGGGGGGGATGGTATTCTGGGTCGGGACCCCCCCCACCAACCTGGGACCCCCCCCTTCCGGCGGGGAAGGGATCAAAGGAACTACGACGTTGTTCAATTTCGTTTTGACTGGCGCGCTTGAGGAGGAGAGCCCAGGGAGGGATCGCCAGGTAGAGATGGTATTCTGGGTCGGGAACCCCCACCCACAGACCCGGGAGCCCCCCACTCCCCTCGTTTCGTTGTGATTGGCGCGCTTGAGGAGGAGAGCCCAGGGAGGGATCGCCAGGAGGGGATTGTATTCTGGGTCGGGACCCCCCCACACAGACCCGGGACCCCCCCCCCCTCCCGGCGGGGAAGGGATCAAGGGGAAGGGGCTTCCATTCGACTCAACTACGACGTTGTTCAATTACGTTGTGGCTGACGCGCTTGATGAGGAGAGCCCAGGGAGGGATCGCCAGGGGGGATGGTATTCTGGGTCGGGACCCCCCCCCTATAAACCCAGGACCCCCCCCCTGCGGGGCAGGGATCAAAGAGAAGTGGCTTCCCTTTGACTGAACTACGACGTTGTTCAATTTGGTTGTGGCTCGCGTGCTTGAGGAGGAGAGCCCAGGGATTGCCCAGGGAAAGGAAAGGAGCGGCGACGGTTGGACCGATCGTTCGGCGATTCGGGGCCCTCGAAGACGAAGATGACGAACGGAAGAGCGTCTTCCACACGCCGACAGGGTCGGCGGATTTCGACCAAGTGTTTCTGTGTTACTCGGATGCCTCCAGAACAACGTCAATGTATCTGACAGTGGAGAGCCAGGATTACCTCGCGACTTTTTTTTTTTTTCCAATAGTCGGCACCCTGCTCCCCTGGCCGAAGGACCCCTTAAACTTTGCATCCGCACGAGCTTCGATCGAGCCTGCCCCGCATGCGCGCACACCTGGTGGCGCTGGCGTAAATGTCCGCCGTTCTCCAAGTGTCGTCGGGATGGTACGGCCAGTTCTCTGGGGAAGCATGCCAGCTTCGACCAGAAATTGTCTCTTAGAGGCGCCATGAACCCTCGCGATGTCCGTTTCTCCCCTTCTATACGCCGCTGGCGCCTGTAGCGTTTGCTGCCGCGCGCAGATGCAGGGTGGTGTTGCCGAGGATGTGCTCCGATTCGGGGATCGATGCGCGTCTCTGGTTCCTGCTGCTTTCCGATTTTGTTGGTTTGAGATGTCGTGGGATCGTACAGTGGAAACCCAAACCAAGAAACACCCAGCTTGCCTCCAGGGTGTTCTTTGCTTCTTGGGCGTCGACTATTCTGCTGTGGAGAACGTGACGGTCCCGCACCAAACACCAATGGACGTCCTGGGGTCTCACTGTTGGGCATCTTGTGGAAGGCTTCTTGTGGACCAGCTCCCACTGTAGACGTACCTCCCTGGTCTGTGCCTTCTGGTGCGCTGCACGTGCGGGCGCCGCAGCGCCCGAGCAGCCTCACGAGCTGTAAGGTGGCGCTCTTCGCCGTGGGCATCGCGTACTACTGCTTCCGGCTGATCTGGGCATACTTCAGTTCAAGGAGTTGTTTGTTGTTGTTCTTCGGGGTGTTGTGCAGAACGCTGTAGGACTTGTCGGGCGCGGCCAGGACGAGGACGCATCCGTTCCAGAGCCTTTTCCTGGACGCTCTCGGAGCGTTCTGGAACGCTCTGAGAAGGCCGCTGCGCCCGCGACATCCTCCAGAGTCGTTGCCGGGTCGCAGAGGTTCTCGAGGCATCTGCACCCGATGCTGCTCTCGTCTTGGCTTCGTCGTAGCTTGCCGCGCTGGAGTGCGAGGTGTCGGATGGATTGGTGAACAGGTGGGATGGATGGGCAGTGCATAGCAGAGAGGAGGAGGAGGAGGAGGAGGAGGAGGAGGAGGAGGAGGAGGAGGAGGAGGAGGAGGAGGAGGAGGAGGAGGTGGGATGGATGGGCAGTGCTTTCGGGCACGGGTGGATTGGTGCACAGGTGGGTGGGGTGCGCGAGAGGCGTCCCGCACGGCACGCGAAGATCACCGGTGGGAGTCTAGTTTTGAAGCCGGGCACGTCCCTCTCGCAGGAGGTTGATGCGGAAGCAGTCAGCAGGAATACTCCGGGGGGGGCGAGGTTCTGTATGTTTTGCACAGTCTTGTAGGGGGGCATGCCCGACCTGAATCTAGCCTGTGTGATCTTGGAATGAAAACGGGCCTCTTTCTGCATGTCTGTGCATGGGAGCCCTGGGCGGCGACGCCGAAATCGGCTTTGCCTGGATGGGGGAAGAACTTGCCAAGCGTCACCCACGCCAAGAATCACCCTGCTTGCCTCCAGGGTGTCCTGGGCTTCATGGGTGCCGATTCTTCTGCCACGGATAGCGTGACGTTCCCACACGAGACACCCACAGACGTCCTGGGGCCTGAGGCCTGGGCTTCCTGTGGAAGGCCTCTCGTGGTCGGGCCTCCACTGCACGCGAACACCCAATCTTTCGCGCACGTCCCCCTGGTGTCCACCGTCGAGCTCGACCGACCGACACGGAGGAGGAGGAGGAGGAGGAGGAGGAGGAGGAGGAGGAGGAGGAGGAGGAGGAGGGCTGCTCCGACGACGCCGCCGCTCCTCGGGCCTGCGCCGTCGGCGGTCTGCTCCGCTGCCGCGCCCGGGCACGCCTCGGCGGGGGTTTCTGGGGCGCGGACGGCAGAGCTGCCGGGGGCCGAGGCGCGTCTCGCCTGCGGCCCGCTCGGGACGTGCCTCCTCTCTCCCCCCTCCCCCCCGCCCCCGTCCCCTCCCTCTCCTCTTCCCCCGTCCTCCCCCGACCCGGAAGTTCCCTGGCCCCCGCCCCTAGGACCCCCGATCCCTCCCCTTCCCTCCTCTTCGCCCCTCTCCATCATCCGCCCCCCTCCTCCCTCCTCGTCTTCCTCGCGCCCCCCCCCCCCCCCCCCTCCCGCTCCCGCTCCCCCGCCTTCTACCCCCCCTCCGCCCTTCTCCCTGGAACGTCCCAGGGTCCCTGCGAGGTCCGCCACTAGAGCCTCCTCGAACACCCTCGAAGCCACTGGAAGTTGTTTGTTCAGCCTCCCAGTCGGGTGTTGCTAGAAGTACCCCTGGCCCAAGGTACCCCCAGGGTTCTCGGGGTGGCCCAGACGGCCTCCAGGGCACCCCTCTCGAGGGCCAGAGGGCCCCAGTGGCTCCAAAATGAAGCGAAAAGCTGGGGGCACCTTGGGCCAGGGGCACCTCTGGCAACACCCGACCCAGGGTCACCTGGTGCGTTCCACGATTCGCAAACGTCAGAAACGGAAACACAGACTTGCCGCCGGTGGAATGGATCATGGATCCCTCGGGGCGGAGCCAGGCCATCCGCGAGCAGCTACGTTCCGAGTAGTGTAACCCGCTTGTTTTTCCATATACAGAGCCATATGTTCCTCCTCATCCTCCTTCCAAGATCCTCCTCCTCCTCCTCCTCCTCCTCCTCCTCCTCCTCCTCCTTTTCCTCTTCAAAAATCAATTGGACTGGCGTCATACCCTCTCTTGGCCAGACTCCTTTCTGGCGCCCGTACTACGGCCGTCGTACGAGCTGGAGGAGAATGGGGGAAAGTTAAGGAACACGTTGAGGGTTAGAGGAAATTGTATAGGAGTTTGTGGACAAGGATCAGGTGGAAGGGAGAGGGGGAAAGGGAGGGGATGAGGAGGAAGAGGAGGAGACAACATGTACATGTTGTCGTGGGTGCGGAGGAGGAGGGAGGGAGAATTAACGGAAGTGGGAAAAGGAGGATACAGGAGGAGGACGAGGAGGCGGAGGAGTTGGGGGACACGGCGATAACGTGCTGTTGTTGTAATGTGTGTTGTTGCTGCTGTTGTTGTTGTTGCTGTTGTTGCTGTTGTTGGTGTTGCTGCTGTTGTTGTTGCTGTTGTTGTTGTTGCTGTTGCTGTTGTTGTTGGTGTTGTTGTTGATGTTGTTGCTATTTTTGTTGTTGGTGTTGTTGTTGCTGTTGTTGTTGTTGGTGGTGGTGTTGTTGTTGTTGTTGTTGTTGTTGTGGTTGTTGTTGTTGTTGTTGTTGTTTTTGTTGTTAGTGTTAGTGTTAGTGTTAGTGTTAGTGTTGTTGTTGGTGCTGTTACCATTGTGGGTCGTTGCGTTCGGAACGGGCCGCCGGAAGAGACACAGTCTGCCATGGAGCACCAGGCCCGCCTGGCACGGACCCAGGAGAGGAGGAGCGACGGAACGGCGAAGACACAGCATGCGAACGCAGCTGGCGGACTCTGCACGGGAGTCAGTCATCGAGAACCAACTCCAACAATTTGTGTGTGTGAGTCTTCAATGAAGAGACCGTGCGACGTGAACCGCCACAGCAGCTCGACTTCGCACCGCCTCGCTGCCATCCTCGGACCTGGAGTCAGCGACGCCAGACGTCATGGCAGCAACTGGGCGAGTGGCGGCATCGGATTCTGCAGGCATCGGCTTCTTCAGCCCTGCCTCGGCGGCCCCCTTCGGCTTTAGGCCGCCGCGTTCCTTCGCCACTTCCGACTGTCGCTTCTCGCCGGCGAGCCTTGGCACCGGGGGCTGCAGCACGCTGCCGCCGACCAGGTCTTGGCCATGCAGGACGTCCTTCAGAGCCCCGAATCATCAGGGGTAACTCGGGTCAGGGCCAACTCGGGTTCGTTTTTCGGGAATCCGAACCCGAGTTACCCCGGACCCGAGTTACCCCAGATAACTCGGGCGTCCAGCGCCCCACATCATCAGGGGTAACTCGGGTCAGGGCTAACTCGGGTTCCTTTTCCGGGAAACCAAACCCGAGTTACCCCGGACCCGAGTTACCCCGGATAACTCGGGCGCCCAAGTCCTGCTGGCCGTTCCCCGTGCCCCCGCTCGTGGCCGCGGGGCCCACCACTGCCTGGCAGCAGCGCCGCAGCACCAGACGCGTCGGAGCACACAGAGGTCGGGCCATGCGTCCGAGAGCCGGGCTCGGCCTCTGCCGGACCTGGCGCGCGACGTCTGGGGAGGGAGCACGGGCCACATGTAAGACGACGCGAAGATCGGGACAAAATCGGATCGGGATAGCTCGAAATCTCTGAGAGTCGGCGGGTTTGGAGGATGTATTGGGCGCCGCGGCCGCTCCAGAGCGTTCCGGAACGCTCAGAGAGCGCTCCGGAACGCTCTGGAGCGATTTATCCCGATTCCAGCCCTGTTTTACATAAAACCATCACTTCACTAATGTTGGGCCCCAGGGCCCACTGCGGCCCCAGGGGCCCCAGATCAGTGAAGCGATGTTTTTTCCCGCGTAAGGACCCCCAAATTCTCATCACTTCACTGAACCGAACCCAGGACGAGAGTCAGGGGCCGAATTGCTGCTGTGATGCGACATCGGTCTCGTAGCACGGGCCACATGCTGGGCCGCTCCCGACGGCAGCCGGGGCAGCAGCACGGGGGGCCGGCAAGCCGTGCCGCTGCCGCCCCTGTGTGGACGAGGGCCGCTGCGCTGTGAGGCCTCGGCAAGCACCAGGAGTGCGGGAGGCGCGCCACACCCGCCACCCGGAGGGGACCTCGGGAGGAGCAGGCGTGCGGAGTGCGGTTGTGCGCGACGCCCTGCGCGAGCGCCCGAGACGAGATACACCACCACTGGTGGGCCTGTTTTCCTCCTCCTCCTCCTCCTCCTCCTCCTCCTCCTATTCCTCCTCCTCCTCCTCCTCCTCCTCCTCCTCCTCCTCCTCCTCCTCCTCCTCCTCCTCCTCCTCCTATTCGTCCTCCTCCTCCTCCTCCCCTCCTTCTCCTCCTCCTCCTCCTCCTCCTATTCGTCCTCCTCCTCCTCCTCCTCCTCCTCCTCCTCCTCCTCCTCCTCCTCCTCCTCCTCCTCCTCCTCCTCCCCCTCCAACTGATGGTGGTGGTGGTGGTGGTGGAACACAGGCCCATCAACCACCACCCCTGACCGCCCTGTGCCTCCGTCCCCCCGTGGCGTGCTGGAGTGTCGACCACCGCCGGGCACCGAGGGGATAATCAGTGGCGCTCGGCAGCTCGGGGCGGCTCGGGCGCGGACCGATCTTGCTCATCGTCGGGCGCCCGCCGCCGGCCGGCGCCGGGCGTCGTCGGACGCGGCCGCCTGCTTCGCCGCCGGCAGCGCGTCACCGTGCGTTATACCTTCTCCCTGCAGTGGCGTGCCAGAGCACGCGCGATGAGCCACGGCGGCAGTCTCCTCGAGCAGCTGCCGCGCCGCTCTCGCCGCAGGGCCCCCGCCGCCTGCTCCCGGCGCCCGGCCGCCGTGCGCAGGGGGGGGGCGTCTCCCGCGTCGCGCCAGGGCGGCTTCAGGGGCCGGACCAGAGCCGGCATGGGAGAGAGGATGTTCGACTGCTGTTGCGAGTGACCGGCTTCGCCAGAGTGTATTCTGGTGCGGGCCCACTGGGGCCCCCCGATCGCCGAACGCGATGCGGCAGAAGCGACTCGTGCGCTCGTGTTTGGTCCCCCCGCGGCCCCCGGGCAGCCGCGCACCAGACGTCACTCCTGCCCAGGGTCTCTCCTTGCGTGTAGCCGAGGGATCGGCACGATCGAAAAGGACGGGAAAATATGAGAGCGAAGACCAGCAGCGATGCCTGCCCATTTTGGGCAGGATTCGCTGTTCGCGTCGCCGCGGACCTTGCCCCTTTCAGGCAGAAGGCCGCGTGCCCAACAACAGCCGCTGTTGGTGTTGGACAACGTTTGTTGTTGGGCATGGCTCCATACTGTTCCGTAATTACCCGATCTGGGCGTCCAAGATGGAAGAGTAGCCGCCTGGAGGGCAGCCTGGCGCTGGCTCGCAGGCCACCAGGAAGGCCACATGATCTTAGCTGTCGCTGGGAGTGGAGCGGCGGGGGGTCGGCGGCGAGGCCGACCAAGCCAGCGGCGTTGGCGCTTTTCATTTATTTGTTCCGCGCGCCCATCGTTTCTTGCCGGAGCCCTGAACGCAGCTGGAGCGTCGAAAGCATGACCACTCTTGCCTCAGAAGGGGATCCGCGACTCTTCGGTCTCTCGTAGGGCCCAGACAGCAGAGTCCGTCCTACCGTTAAGTCGGGCCTGTCCCCCTACAGGGGGACTGTCGACGAAAAATAGAACATACACAACAAAAAGTAGAAAAATAGCCCAGAAATAGTCTGGGGAGCATTTTTTAAATATTGTTTTACGTTTTTGGTGTATGTTTGGGGTATTTTTTATTTCTTGTCGAAAATCCCCCTGTGAGGGGACATGCCCGACAGAATCCTGCCGCCGGGTCCAGGTGGCTTCGCTCCACATCTCAGGCCAATCCTGAACCCAGGGGCTGGAGACTCGGACGACGAGGACGGCGACTGAACTCGGATGCGCAACGGGATCGGCTGATCGAGCGCCGGGAGGAACAACAGAAAAAAAGGGCGCCGCGAGGTCTCAAGGTGATCCGCGTTGGACGTACCTCCGCTGGGCCTCCCAGGAGCCCACGAAAGTGGCGACGTTTGCGCAGATCGCAGCCCGACGGCACGAGAGCAGAGGAGAAGGGAACACAGGAAACATGAGAGGAGGAGGGGAGGAGGGGGGAGGAGAAGAAGGAGGCCGGGGCGACCACACCATAGGAGGGTTGGAAAAAATCTCGGGTCAATCCTGAACAATGCACCCGCGGCGATGCGGTCAGCATGCTGTCCCAGGGCGCGCGCCGGGGGGGGGGGAGGTCGCACACGAGGACGCGGGCCTTGGGCGCGTCGGGCGGTGCCCAATGGGGGAGGGCGGCCAGCTCGAGGCTCGAGGACCCAAGAGGACGGGGGATCGAGTGTCAAGTCGGGCCTGTCCCCCTGCAGGGGAATTGTCGACGATATATATATATATATATATATATATATATATATATATATATATATTACTCAAAAATATGTCCAAAGGTAGTTTTGGGACTATGTTTGGAGCATTCTTTGCCATTCTGGAATATTTTGGGGGTATTTTTTTAATTTTTCGTCGAAGCTCCCCCTGTAGGGGGACAGGCCCGACGTAAGTCTAGGATCGCGGAGGTTTGGGATGTCTTGGAACGTCCTTCGAGGTCCTTTTTGGGGGAGGGCCGAGGGGGCTCTCTTTTTTCCTGGGCGGGGAGGCGACTCTCTTGGCGGTGACCCCCCATTGTGCGTCCCAGACCTCCGACGTGTTTCTGCTGTTTGTCATGCTCATTAGCCCAAAACATACCCGGACCCGGGGTCAGCTGGGGTGAAAAGGGCCGCCCGCTAGAGCGTTTTCGGCCTTGCCGCCACCTCGTCTGGGTACGGGTCGGTGCCCGAAACAACCATACATACCCGGACCTAGCTGGGGTGGTGGTTGGGTCACCCCGTCTAGGTACGGGTATGTATGGTGGTTTCGGGAGCCGACCCGGACCCAGGGGGGGTGATGCCCCGAGGGCCCCTTGCCACCCCGTCTGGGTAAGGGTACGGGTATCTTTCGCGCTCGAGAAATGCGGGGCTCCCAGGGGCGGCTCTTCATCCTGAATCGTGTCTTGATGCTCCCCGATCCCGGTGACGGCCCCCAGAGGGCGGAACTTGCAGCACGAATTGCCCGTCGTTGCTTGGCGACGACGCGAGGATACCAGGGCAGTGGTGACCGATCTCCTTGGTTCGGATACGTCTCCTGAGAGGTTCAATTCAGCATCGGCGCGCGCTGATGCATCCGTGGTCGGGATCCGTGCAAAATCCAGCGCGCTGTCGGTTGATTTAACCGCTTCGTTCATTCTGCCGGCCCATTTCGCATCACTGTGCTGCGTGGTGGCGTGCTCGTGCCCAGGGGGAACGGTTGGGCAGGCAGGACGGTTTTCGTGGTGATCTTTGGACATGTGGCTCGCACCTTGTCGAAAAGCCGATACATTGCCCCAGAGGGCGCTAGGATGGCTCAAGAGAGCTCCAGCAGAAGGGTCAATGTCCTTATGGATGCTTTTTGGGGTCTCTTCAGAGGGAGCCTCTGGGGAGCAGTTTTGAAGCCTCTGGGCAGCCTCTCCGGGGCTTCTTGGAGGCCTCTTGCGGCTTCCCGGGGGCCTGTTGGGAGTCTCTTTGGGGGCCTCTTAGGGACCTCCTGTGGCCTCTTGAGGGGCTCTTGGGGTCCTCTGGGGGCTTCATGGGCGCCTCTTGGGGCCGAGAGCTCGACATGTCTGTTCGGGCTTCCCCTCTGGGCCCCTCTTGAGGCCATCCTAGGGCCGTCTTGGAGGCCTGGCCTCGTGGGCAGTCTTAGGGCCACTTGGGGGCATCTGTGGGCCCTCCTGTAGGCTTTCTGGATCGCCCTGGAGCGATCTTGAGGCCTCTTGGGCCAGCCAGGCCGGTCGGCAGCTCGAAGAGGCGGTACCGCCAAACTCGTCCGAACACCAATGCAACATCCGTGAATGTTGCGTCTTCGGGGCCTGTCGAAGTCCTCTTGGAACCCTCCTGGAGCGTCTTGGGCGCCTCTTGGGCCGTCTTGGGCCCAACGTGGGCCATCTTGGAACGCTCCTGGCCTGAGGCCGACGAGCGTGCCACCCTTTCGGCGCGTCATTGGGGCGCTCGGGGGGCCCCCCCCGAGGCCGCGCCCAGCAATTCCGGCATCTCTGAGCCGCCCTTGATTGCTGGGACTCGCCGTCGTCCGGGGACCCCCAGGGGCCGCCACGCGCGCGCGAAGTCCAGACATTCTTAAACCCTCACCAGGCATTTTAGCGGCCCGTTGGGCCGGCGAATTTGGCTCACCCAAGCTTGGGGGCGGCAAAGAGGGGGGTGATGACTAGGGGGGTGGATATCATGGCTGGGGCCACGGTATTTTTTCCCAGATTTTAAGGCGCCTCTTCTTATCTCATTACGTCCCTGGCCCCCCCGCTGGGCCGCGCACATGCCGCCGGTCAAGATGTGCACCCCCCCTCTTGGACACCCCCCTCCTGGCCGCTCCCGACAAGCTGAACTCTGGCACACTCGCGCTGAACCCAGCTCGGCCCAGCTCCTCAGACCGTGACCCGTGCTCAGCACGGCCTGCTCGATCCCGTCACGGAGACCTCCCAGAAGTCGCCTCCTAGCCTCGGCACTGCCTGGCGAGGCGCGCCGATGCTCGAAGAAGAACGAACGACATACACCTACACTTTTGGTGCTCCGCGCGGAATTCTTGGATCCGGGGGGGGGGCCCTCGGCGGTGCCTCCGGCGCCGCCCCTGGCGCGTTCCGCGCGCCAGGGAGCTCCAGGGTGTCCAGCCCAGATCCAAGACACACGCGCGGAGCGCCAACAATTTATGTTCATGGCATTTCTTTCTTTAGATGCAAAAGAAGCTTTGGCCTTCAAGCAGCAACGGCAACGGCAACGGCAACGGCAACGGCGACGCGGCCCCGCGCCGGAGCCGGCTTGCAGCCGCCGGCGGCCAGAATGGCGCGGCAGCGCGCCTCAGCGTGCACCCGGCGATCGGGGCGGTTGTTGTCAGCCGAGGTGAAGAGGGGTGAAGGGGGGGACATGATCTGGGGCAGGGAGGGAGGAGGAGGAGGAGGAGGAGGAGGAGGATGAGGAGGAGGAGGAGGAGGAGGAGGAGGAGGAGGAGGACGAGGAGGAGGAGGACGAGGGGGGAAGGAGGAGGAGGAAAGAGGAGGGGAGAGGGAGGAGGAGGAGGAGGAGGAGGGGAGGAGGAGGAGGAGGAGAGGAGGGGAGGAGGAGGAGGAGGAGGAGGAGGAGGAGGAGAGGAGGAGGAGGAGGGAGGAGGAGGAGGAGGGGGAGGCTCGGGGCAGAGAGCCACGGCGGGGGGGTCCCACTCTGGCGCTGGGGACGCGGGACGGGGGGGGATGTGCGACGAGGAATACGTTCGTGGACGAGGGGGCGGTGGGCGGGGCTCCCGCTGGGGCGCTGGGGCACGCCAAAAATTGCCCAAAAAGGTCAAACAATACTTAAGAAATAGTTCCCGGATTATTTTTGGATTATTTTTTGTTTATTTTTGGGGTATTGCTTATCTTTCGTCGAACATCCCTCCGTAGGGGGACAGGCCCGACTTAAGTCTAACATGTAAAACGGTTCTGGGTGTTGAGGCCGGCTCGTCCTCAGCATCATCTCAGCAGATGGACGGTGGCGCACTGCCAGGATGTCGACCTGCCTTACGACGTACGCATGTTTTGCGGCCAGGGCTTTAGCGTTGCTCGACTTTACACGGATGGAGGGCAGATCCGTGGTGCAAATGAGTCATGTTCTGACGTTTGCCGAATTTTGTCATCGTGCTTCTTTTAGCGGGGTACTTCAAATGATGGGATCCTTCAGATCAAATCGGCGGCAAGCCCAGGGTGGAAATGATACGGGGCACTTATCAGAAGGTTCAGAAGTCTCCCAGCTTTCTGAGAAGTTTTCTCAGCTCTTTCCGAAAGCACGCAAAACTTGTGACAAGGTCGGATCGCTTTCTGAGAAGCTCCGCCGGTTTCTGAGAAGGCCTTCTCCTTCTCGCTTCCCCCCCCGCTCGTCGCCGATGATCAAAGGATTGGAGGTGATTCCTTTGCAAGCAGACTCTCGCCAGAGAAAAGGGCACGCCAGGCGTTCCATTGGATGGGGGCGCTTCCCGCAGTGGAAAGGATAATAGGCAGGAACAGTATGAGGAGTGGACCCGGGACGGGAGGATGTATTGCACCATCGTGGATATATTTTGGGCTTGTTGTGCTCCTCCTCCTCCTCCTCCTCCTGCTCGTGCTCCTGCTCCTCCTCCTCCTCCTCCTCCTCCTCCTCCTCCTATTCTTTCTCATCCTCCTCCCCCTCCCTGGCCCACCTCCCCGTCCTCCTCGCCCACCTCGCTCCCCACCCGCCTCTCGCCGGCCCTTCCTCCTCGCTCGCCCTCCTTTCCCGCCTGCTCCAGCCCCCCCCCCGTCTTCCTCCGCCCTCGCCCTCACCCCTTCCCTGCCCTCCCCCTCACGTGGCCCTCCCGCCTCCCGTCTTCCCCCCTTCCCCCCGCAGCCCCCCCCCCCTTCCCCCCCCCTGTACCAGCCGGCCGCGCTGGGGGGCGGCGCGCCTCTACGCTCAGGCAGGCTTGCTTGCCGGGCAGTTCCCTCCGCCGCCTCTTCGGACCGCGCGGGGCCGAGGGGCGTGCCAGCCAGCCCCGACCGGCGTGAAGTCCCCTTCCCTGGAGACGGCTTGCTGCCCGGCCGGGACCCTGGACGGCTGGCGCGGGGCCGCGCGGGGCGTCGCTGTCGCTCCCCCTCTCGCCGTCGTGGTCGCCGTCTTTGCCGGACGTCCCCTGCACTCAGCCGCTGGGCTCTTTCGCGCTGGCAGCAAGCGTAGAGTCTCCAGGCACGCGACGTCATACGTTTTTTTCACTGCGGGGCCCCCGGCAGTCCCCACCGTTTCCCCAGGGCGGGCTGCTCACCCCGGGTGGTCTTATTCACGGCCCCGTGGCCCGGCAGGGGCCTCTTAGAGAGGCCGAGAACGACGACTTGTTTGTCCTGCTGGTGTTCTCCGGGCGCGAGCACGGTCGGGAAGTACGAGCTCCCATTCCTCAAGCAGTGGCGAAGCTTCCTGGCTTGCCTCTTGGCCCAGCAAAGACGGTTTTGCTCACCCTCTGTGGCTTGCACGACATGCCCTCAGAGCCTTCCTGGCTGAGACCGTCTGGTCTCAACACATCGGGCTTCTGTTCTTTTGAGCCTGGCTTCTGCTGTAGCTGTAGAGTCGGCGGTTGGGGGCGAGATCGCAGCGGAGCGGAGAGCCCCCCACCAGGACAGCGGTTTCGGCTCCGTGATCGTGTCGCGCGCGCGGGCGCGGCGATGCTGCGTGGGCGCGCGGCGGGGCGGATGCCGACGTGGCCGGGGGCCGTGGGAGCCCTCGGGCCGCCCGCACCCCAGGGCGCGCGGTGGCTCGGGGTGCCCCGCCGGTGGCGCGGGGGCGCCCCGCTGGTGGTGGGGTGCTCTCCGTCGGTGGCCAAGGGGTGCCCCGTCGGTGGCGCGACAGTGAGCTCGACGGTGTGAGATCGATGGTGGGATCGACGATGGGATCGTCAGTGAAGTTGACAGCGAGATCGATGGTGAGAGCTGTGGTGCGATCGTTTTTGAGATCGGTAGTGAGATTGATCGTGAGACCGGCTGTGCGCGATCGATGTCCCGTCGGTGGCGGGGGTTGCCCCGTCGGGGGCGCGATCGTGAAATCGATAGTGAGATCGACTAAGAGGTCAATCGTGAGATCGACCGTGAGATCTGTGCCGATTTCGACTGTAAGATCGATAGTGAGATCCATCGTGAAACCGCTGCTGACAGAAACCTGGGGGGGGGGGTCACTTGGGGTTCCCAACCCGTCCCCCCCCCTTCGAAAACCGGGGGGGGGCACTACCGGTTCGAACCCCTCCCCCCTCCCCCTCCCAGTCCATCATGAAAAGGGGGGGGGTCACTACCGGTTCAACCCCGCCCCGGGGGATCATTACCTGTTCGACCCCCCCCTCCCTCGCCGCCAGCAAACGATTCCCGCTCCTCGGTGCATTTGGATAATGGTGGGGATGCCGGGATAGTGGTGGGAACGTTGGTGGTAGGGACAGTGGTGCGGGGACAGTGGGACAGTGGTGCGGACAGTGGTGGGGGTGGTGGGGACAGTGGTGAGGGGACAGCGGGACAGTGGTGGGGACAGTGTGGCAGTGGTGGGGACGGTAGTGATGGTGACAGTGGTGAAGGCAGTGGTGAGGAGAGTGGTGGGACAGTAGTACAGTGGGGAAAGTGGCGGGGACAGTGGGGACAGGGGGACAGTGATGGGGATAGTGGGGACGGTGGGACAGCTCAGTGGGACAGCGGCGGGGACAGTGGGACAGTGGTGGCTACAGTGGGGAGAGTGGGACAGTGGTGGGACCGTGGGGAAGGTGGGGAGAGTGGGACCGTGGTGGGACAATGGTGAGGAGAGTGGGGACAGTGAGACACTGGTGGGGGCACTGGTGGAGACAGCGGGGACAATGGTGGGAACAGTGGGGGCAGTGGGACAGTGGTGGGGACGGTGGTGATGGGGACAGTGGTGTGGGGACAGTGGGAACGTGGTGGAAACAGTGGGACAGTGAAGAGTACCGTGGTGGTGGGGACAGTGGTGAGGGCGGTGGCGAGGACGGCGGTGGGACAATGGGACAGAGGCACAGTGGGGACAGTGGTGGGGACAGTTGGGACAGTGGTGGGAACAGTGGGACAGCTCAGAGAGACAGCGGCGGGGACAGTGGGACAGTGGGGACAGTGGGACAGTGGTTGGGGCCGTGGAGAAAGTGGGGAATGGAACCGTGGTGGGAACACTGGTGGGGACAGTGGCGACAGTGCGACAGTGGTAGGGGCACTGGTGGGGACAGTGGGGACGGTGGTGGGAACAGTGGGGACAGTGGTGGTGAGGACAGTGGTGCTGGGGACAGCAGTGGGGGATGTGGTGCGCACGGTGGTAGGGACCCAGGAGTCGTTTGCTGGCGGTGAGCGTGGGGGGGGGGGGAGGGGTTCGATCCAGTAGTGACCCCCCTGGTTTTCTGGAATGTGCCGGGGGGGTTTCGAGCCGGTAGTGACCCCCCTCTGGTTTTCTGGAGGGGGAGTGGGGGAGCGGGGTTCGGACCGGTAGTGACCCCCCCTGGTTTTTTGGAGGGGGGAGGCTTTCGAACCAGTAGTGACCCCTCTCTGGTTCTCTGGTTTTCTGGGAGGGGACTCGAGGGGGAGGGGTTCGAACGGGTAGTGACCCCCCGCGGTTTTCCGGAGGGGGGGGGGGGATTCGAACCTGTATTGAACCACCCTCGTTTTTTTGAGAGGGCGGGGGGGTAGGGGAGGGGGGGGGTTTTGCCAGGGGGAAGGGGGGGAGGGTTCCAGCAGGGGGGGGGATTTTCGGATGGGGGGGGGGACCCCGGGGCTCCAGAGGAAGTCGGGGGGAATTTTCCACAGTAAAGCGTCGGTGGATCACGCTCTCTCCGACATCGAAGTTGGGATCGATCGTGAGACCTAGTGCGAGACCGATAGTGAGATGGTGAGACCGCAGTGTGTTCGATAGGGGGATCGATAATGATGTCGATAATGAGACCGATAATGAGATTGATACCGCGATCGATTGTAAGATCGATATTGATATCGACAGTGATATGAGTGCGAAGGATTGAGTGGAACGTTGCTTCCCCCGCCCGAAACTCCCTATCACCCCCAGGGTGATCATATAGGTAACTTTCCAGTTCTACGAACATGTCGTGGCATGCGTGTAGGAATGCTAAGGAACACCGGCATCATTGATGGACTCCAGCATTGTTTTTTTTTCGCCGAGTCTGCTACAAATGCGCAGACTTCCCCGTATTTTCGTCCGAACAGATTTCGTGTATTCCGTGGATCCAGCGGACAATTGATTTTTGACGTTTTGCCTATTCCCACCAGCTGCCCGTTGCCCCGGACTCTCTTTCGCCGCCTGCCCCTTGCTGCGCGGCTGCGACCGAAAGTATTCCCACCAGCGCCTTCTTGTTCAACCACCTGAGGTCGCCACTGTTGGCACGCGACACAGGTACGTTGGGCTGCTTGTTCAGCCCCACGCTATGTCTGCTTAGCTCGGGTGGCTCGTTTACCTCTGGCGTCTGGCGCGACAAGGTACAATTCGTTTGCCTTACCGGTGGCCTCGCCCCTGGAATGGTTGCACTTCAGCCGCCTGGCACCCCTGGGACCTCTTGCAGCTTTGCCTCAGTCCCCGGCGTCGCTCCTCGGCGTCCTTCGGCAGCAGCTCAGGCGGCCTTCAGTTCGCGCGTTTCGGTAATTGGGTTTGGCTCGTAGCCCGGGCTGACGTCGGACGCCGCCTGCGCTTCCACTAGCGGCCGCGACGGAACAGTTCCCACCAGCCAGTCCAGACACGATCGCCAGGTGAGTTGTCTTGATGAGGGCAGCGTGGGAACATAAACTGCGACGGTCGCCTGGGATGTTTTTTTTTTTTTTTTCGGGGGTGCGGGGAGGGCAGGAACATGTGTTGTATGACTGTATGAGTCGTTCACAGGTGGGTTGAGTAGGTCGACCTGGCCTCGTTTTGGCTCTGCGGGGCTCCTCTTGGAGTCCTCATCGCCAACTGTTGACCTGCCACGGTTCTGTCATCGGGGCTGGGTTCCTTCACGCGCTTCGGAGGAGCCCGGGCCTCTTTGGTCTATCTTGGGTTTTTTTTGGGAGCTTCTTGAGGGCCTATTTGGTGATGTTGGGCGCGTCCATGACGGTGCCGGGCGCCCACATATTCTGAGCGTTTTGTAGGGTTTGTGGGTCCGGTGGGACGGTCTGAGACGTCCCTTCGAACGTTCGGAGCTCTCTTAGAGTTTTTTAACTTCCGGGGAGGTCTCTGAGGGCCATCTTGGACCACTCTTGGGTCCCGTTGAGAGGGGTCAGAAATCCCCCTCGGCCCCCTCGGAGGCTCCAGAATAGCCTTTCAGGATCCTGTTGGGCCCTTTTTTGGATGTGACGGGGGCGCTCTGGCAGCCGTCCCGGGCCCGTCTTGGGACTCTCTACTTTGGGGCCCTGTCAGGGCCTTCCGAAAACCCAAGAAGCCCATTGGCAACGAAGAAGCAACAAGTCCCAACAAATTGATTTCCCACAGGTTTTTGAAGGGGATTTGGGGAGGTGCGCTGGGAGGGAGGAGTGGCAGTTGGAACCCTCTTGGGGCTGTCTTGGGGCGTTTTGGAAGCTTATCGGATGCTATCTTGAGCGATGTTGGGGTCTCTTGAGCAATTTTGGAGGCCGTCATGGGCTGTCTTGGCGCCCGCCGAGTGGTAGCGGGGCGCCCGCGCATGCTCCGCATTTGCAGGCAAATTGTAGTTTGTTTACAGGGACGGTCGGTTTGCGCGCAACTTGCGCGCAACAAACAGCATTTCAGCACCCCCGCCGTCCTTGTTAAGAACCAATGCAGAGTGGTCGCGGGGCGCCCACGCATGCTCGATATTTGGAGGCAGAGTGCATACTGCATTGTTTCTTTGACAAGGACGACGGGGGGGTATGTCCTGGGTTGGCCCATAGTCGGGTGGGAGAGCCGGCGTCTACTATTCAGGAACAGTGGTAAACTTCTCCCCAGCAGAAAATCGGGTCATGGGTGCATCAATTACGCAGTCGATCCCCTGCTCGTCTCCCCCTTACCCCTGCAAGGAAAACAAACACCCTGCAAGGAAGCCCGCCGGAGCCTGCAGACAGAAGCCGCGTGCGGCCGCCTGTCGGAACGATGGAAAGGGGTATGGAAAGACTGGGCACGATGCCCAACAGCAGTTCCTGCACATTTTGAACAGGACTCGCTGTCCGCGCCGCCGCGGACGCTGTCCGCTGAAGACCAGAAGCTCCCTGCCCAACAGCGGCCGCTGTCGGTTTTGGACGACATGTGTCGTTGGGCATTGCAGCCATTTGTTCCGTACACAGTGGGGGCGTGTGCCAAGAAGCCAGTTGGATTTTGCCAGGGTGCCCTGGGTCTCTTGGATTTCGATGCGCCCCCCAATAAGATCGTGACGCTTTTCGATCGACGAATTCAGGCTTTCACTGCACAAAGCGCGGATTTCAGGGTTGGGTTTCCTTGCGGAGGTTTCTTCTGGCCGAGCCCCCACTGTACCCACTTCGAAGGCGTCCAGAGACTGCGCGCTGGCCGCCGCGCGTCGTCGCTCTCGTGCCCCAGGCGGGGCCCTGAAGAAGGAACCCTTTTCGTTGGGGAGGGGCTCCGCGTTCCTGAAGTGTTTCTCGCAGCTTGCCTCGGGTTTTCCTTCTGTCTTCGATCGGAAATCGAAGGTTCACTTATGGAAAATAGGAGCCCCGTTCCTTATTTTGGGTTCCTTAGGTCAAGGCCCCGACTGTACACCTTAGGCGATGCTTAAGAAAACTTACGTTTTCGGCCAGAGTCTCGATTTCGATTGTTCTCAACGTTTCCATGTAAATCCTATGATTTTACTAGAAATGTTGGGTTTTTTTATTCAAGTTCTCAGACTCTGAATTTCTTAACCCATGATTTCTTCTTCAGCATTCCGCAGGGTGTACCCACTTCGGGCGTCCAAAGACTGCGCGCTGACCGCCGCGCCTCGTCGCTCCCGTGCCCTGCCCGCTGCCTTCCGCGGCCCAGGCCTCGGGCACGGACTCGGAGCCCGCCGCCGCCGCGGAGGCGCCGCCGCCGCCGCCGCCCCTGCGCCGCCCGGCAGCGCTTCGCCGCCGGGCGGCGCCGTCGTCCGGCGGCGCCGCCGTCCGGCGCGGCCGCCATCCGACCCCAGACGTGCAAGCGTTACTCCAGATTTCGTAATCAAAGGGAGGGGGTCTGGATCCTCCAAGACAAGCCATTTCAGACCTCACCCGTGGGAGAACCCTCCAAAACATCGTCCCCAGACCCCCCAGGCCCTCCAAGATAGCCTGGAAGAGACCCCCCCCGAAATGAGACCCCCCTCTCTTTATTACGAAATCTGGAGTAATCACCGCCCGCCAAACCACCCCAACCCAACCCGAAGGCTCAGATTTACACTCGACTTCCAGTGGGGGGGGGTCGGGAAACATCGAAAAACACATGTGGACCCCCCCCCAACCCGAAATTCGGGTCTTCGGGTTGGGTTGGGGTGGTCTGGTAGGTAGTCAGTTAAATCGGGCATGTCTTCCCACATATGAGGAGTAGTTAGAAATAGTGTATTAATTGTCTGCGCACGGTTTTTCTACTACGTGTTGTTATTTTCCGGTATGGTTGGAATCTTTTTTTTCGCTTTTCGTCCGATATCCGCCTGTAGGGGGACACGCTCGACCTGATGCCAGCGTTCCGAAAACATCGGGAGAAGCCTTTGTGTGGAAGTCCCGTTCCCCTTTTCAGGCCTCCTGGGAGGCCCTCGTCGCCACCGCTGGGTCTGCCTCGACATCCTGCTCAGAACGCACCCCGAGAGAGGTCTGGGGAGCGGCGGTGATCCTTGGTACCTTTTGGTCCCCCTGCTGTCGCCGTCCGACCCCAGATGTGTCCGCGTTCGGATGATGTCGGGACGGGCGTTTGTGTGGAAGCGTTTTTTTTCCAAAGGAGAACTATTGTTGGTCCCCTCTGCCCGGCGGCGCCGCCGTCCGACCGCCGACGTGTTCGCGCTCCGAACATCTCAGGACGGGCGTGCGTGTTGAAGCGTCACCTCTGACAGCAGGTATCGTTGATCTCCTTATGCCCAGTGCACATGTTCTATGTTTTCCCATGCGATGCTCCGTCCAGGGCTCGCCGTACCTTTTCTTCAGCAGTGACACTTGTTTGGTCGTCGAGCTGTGTGGTCGGCCCTTGGTTTACAACCAAAGCAAAACAGCGACTACCGGCTGATACCTCCTCACAAGTTTTAACCAGTTCGCGCTCTCGCGCGGGATATCCACCATGTATGCAAGAATCGCGATCTCGTGCTGTATTGTACGGGCGCAGCGCGTAATTTGATTCTCGCGAGGTAGACTGACTGAACTGAACTGAACTGAACAACTATTGCCGTTAGATGGCAGTTTTATTTTTGGGTGTGAGGGTATTTGGGCGGCAGTTTTAAGTTTGACGCCAGCAGGTGAGGATATTTCGGGAGGCCGTTTTGAGCAAGAGGGTGAGGATATTTAGTGGTTATTTTCCGCGACGGGCGGTGAGGATATTGCGGGGGCAGTTCTAGACCAGGGAGGGTGAGGATATCTGGGCGGCAGTATGAAACCTGCCGCCAGCGGGTGAGGATATTTGGGGAGGCCGTTTCGAGCAAGAAGGTGGGGATATTTAGGGGGGCAGTTTTCCGCGACGGGCGGTGAGGATATTGCGGGGACAGTTTTAGGCCAGGGAGCGTGAGGATATTTGGCCAGCAGTATGAAGTCTGCCGCCAGCGGGTGAGGATATGTTGGGAGGCAGGTTTAAGCCAGATAGGGAGGATATTTTACGGGCGCAGCCTGTAATTTGATTCTCGCGAGGTAGACAGACAGAGAGACAGACTGAACTGAACCACCAGGCCGTTAGATGGCAGTCTTATTTCCGCGGGTCAGGATACTTCGGTGGCAGTTTTAAGCCAGCGGGTGAGGATATTTCGGTGGCAGTCCTAAGCCAGCGGGTGAGGGGATTTCGGTGGCAGTTTTAAGCCAGCGGGTGAGGACATTTCGGTGGCAGTTTTAAGCCAGAGGGTGAGGATACGTCGGTGGCAGTTTTAAGCCAGAGGGTGAGGATATGTCGGTGGCATTTTTAGCCAGCGGGTGAGGATATTTCGGTGGCAGTTTTAAGCCAGCGGGTGAGGATATTTCGGTGGCAGATTTAAGCCAGTGGGTGAGGATATTTCGGTGGCAGTTGAAGCCAGCGCGTGAGGATACTTCGGTGGCAGTTTTAAGCCAGCGGGTGAGGATATTTCGGTGGCAGTTTTAAGCCAGAGGGTGAGGATATTCTGGTGGCAGTTTAAAGCCAGCGGGTGAGGATATTTCGGTGGCAGTTGTAAGTCAGCGGGTGAGGATATTTCGGTGGCAGTTGTAAGCCAGCGGGTGAAGGTATTTCGGTGGCAGTTTTGTTTCCGAGGGTGAGGATATTTCGGTGGCAGTTGTATTTCCGCGGGTTGGGATATTTCGGTGGCAGTTTTCATCCAACGGGTGGGGATATTGCGGGTGAGGATATTTCGGTGGCAGTTGTAAGCCAGCAGGTAGGGATATTTCGGTGGCAGTTTTACTTCCGCGGGTATATTTCGGTGGCAGTTTTTTTTTTTTTCAGCGGGTGAGGATATTTCGGTGGCAGTTTTAAGCCAGTGGATGAGGATATTTCGGTGCCGGTGAGGATCTTTCGGTGGCATTTTTAAGGCCGGCGGTGAGGATATATCGGTGGCAGTTTTAAGGCAGCGGGTGAAGATATTTCGGTGGCAGTTTTAAGCCAGCGGGTGATGCTATTTCGGTGGCAGTTTTAAGCCAACGGGTGAAGAGATTTCGGCGTCATTTTTAGCCAGCGGGTGATGATATTTCGGTGGCAGTTGTATTTCCGCGGGTTGGGATATTTCGGTGGCAGTTTTGTTTTCGCGGGTGAGGATATTTCGGTGGCAGTTTCAAGCCAGTGGATGAGGATATGTGGGTGGCAGTCTTAAGTCAGCGGGTGAGGATATTTCGGTGGCAGTTTGAAGCCAGCGGGTGAGAATATTTCGGTGGCAGTTTTATGCCAGAGGGTGAGGATATTTCGGTGGCAGTTTTAAACCAGAGGGGATATGTCGGTGGCAGTTGTAAGCCAGCGGGTGAGGATATTTCGGTGGCAGTTTTAAGCCAGAGGGTGAGGATATTCCGGTGGCAGTTTAAAGTTAGCGGGGGAGGATATTTCGGTGGCAGTTTTAAGTCAGCGGGTGAGGCTATTTCGGTGGCAATTTTAAGCCAGCGGGTGAGGATATTTCGGTGGCAGTTTTAAGGCAGCGGGTGAGGATATTTCGGTGGCAGTTTTAAGCTAGCGGGGGAGGAGGAGGAGGAGGAGGAGGAGGAGGAGGAGGAGGAGGAGGAGGAGGAGGAGGAGGAGGAGGAGGAGGGAGGAACCGAGAAGAGCTGTGCTCGGCGCGGGCATCCAGCCGCCGCGCGATGCGTCATTCGCTTGGTTGGCCCAGCCGACGGCTACGCATCCAGCTCGCTTCTGCGCCCGTATATATGCTCACCCGTTGGCGTGGGGCTGGCGGGGGGCCAAGTGGCGAGCTGTGCGGTGATTCCTAACAGCGCCGTGTCCCCAACTTTCAGGAATCACGCTGTCCCTTTCTGTCTGGATTTCCTCACGATTTACTTGGGAATCGCGCTATCGCAACCGAAACGTCTGTGCGATCCTTTTTGGTTTGACGCTTTAGCGACCCGCCCGCTCGACCTGGCCGTCCGGGCCCGCCCGCCCGACCCGCTCGTCAGGGTCCGCCCGTCTGGCCCGCCCGTCTAGTTCTGCCGCTTGTGCCCCTGCGCCTGACCTTCCTCCTGCAAATTTCTCTCTCGTGCTCCATCCTTCCCCCTCCCCCCTTGTCTGTTCTTTCCTTCCTTGCTTCTTTTGGAGGCTGCGACAACTACACGTTGCAAGTAGGGGAGGTATCCTCCCAAGGGGGTTGCGATCGAAGACGAAGAGTGTGGGTATGGATGGTCTTGGTCGAATGGCACGCGAGCAGATAAGAGCGAGCAGCCTCAAAATGATTGTTGATATTGTTGTTGCTAATTTCGCCCTCCGGGGGCCCTCGCCGGTGTCGGGGCCTTCTGGGCACCTCCTGGGGCAGTCTTAAGGCACCCCTTGGAGCCTCGGGGGCCATAATAAAAGTATGGGGCAACAAAGTACTGCGAAGTGGAAGGCTGACACTTCCCTCATCCCCAGGCCCGATTTCGATCCGATCGATTCGTTTCGACGTCGGTTTCGGCGGGCCGGACCCGAGTCGATTCCTAGGATCCGACGGTGCGCTTCGGCACGCTGCTCGCGCGGCGTTGCTGTGTATCCTGGCGCGGCCGGTCCGCTCCGACTCAGATCCCATGCCCGCGCGGCCCGATCCGATCCACGCCTTGATCCGATCAGACTTTCCGATGAGATTACGGTGGCAGCTGATCTTGTGCCTTCCTTCCTCCTCCTCCTCCTCCTCCTTCTCCTCCTCCTCCTCCTCCTCCTCCTCCTCCTCCTCCTCCTCCTCCTCCTCCTCCTCCCCCTCCACCTCGCCCTCTCCCTTCTCCTCCTCCTCCTCCGCCTCCTCCTCTTCCTCCTCCTCCGCCTCCTCTCATCCTCTCTCCCTCCCCCTCCCTCCCTCCCTCCCTCCCTCCCTCCCTCCTTCCTTCTCCTACTCCTCATACTCCTCGTCCTCCTTCTCCTTCTTCTCCTTCTCCTCCCCCTCCTCCTTCTCCTCCTCGCCCTTTTCCTTCTCCTCCTCATCCTCCTCCACCTCGCCCTCTTCCGCCTCCTCTTCCTCCTCCTCCTCCTCCTCCGCCTCCTCTTCCTCCTTCTCCTCCTTCTCCCCTGGGCCCCCTGACACCGCCGAGGCACAGTAGGCGGAGGGGGAGGAGGGGGAGGAGGAGGAGGAGGAGGAGGAGGAGGAGGAGGAGGAGGAGGAAAAAGGAGAAAGAAGTAGGAGGTATGGTGGAGATAATCGGGGAGAGGGGGGAGGAGGAGGGAGGGAGGAGGAGGAGGAGGAGGAGGGGAGGGAGCGAGGAGCGAGGGGAGAGGAGGAGCAGAGCAGGAGCAGGAGCAGGAAGCAGGAGCAGGAGCAGGTAAGCAGGGAGCAGGAGCAGGAGCAGGAGTGGACGCTGGACGCTGGGGAGGAGCAGAGGAGAGGTAGGAGAAGGAGGAGCGAAAGGAAGAGGAGGAGCAGGAGGAGCAGGAGGAGGAGGAGGAGGAGGGGAGGAGGAGAGGAAGACGAGGGAGGAGGAGGAGGAGGAGATGAGGAGGAGGAGGGGGAGGGGCCAGGAGGAGGCGGCGGAGAAGGAGAGGAGTAGGAGGAGGAGGAAGAGGAGGAGGAGGAGGAAGGAGGAGGAAGGCTAGGAGGAGGAGGAGGTAGGGGGAGGGGAGGAGGAGGAAAGCGTCTGGCGAACGGGAGAAGGAAGAGGAGTAGGAGGAGGGGTAGGTGAAAAAAGAGTAGGAGGAGGAGGAGGAGGAGGAAGGGAGGAGGAGGAGGAGGAGAAGGAACTTTGAGGAGGAGGAGGGAGGAGGAGAGGCCGGGAGGAGGAGGAGGAGGAGGAGGAGGGGGGAGGAGGAGGGAGGAGGGGAGGAGCTGGAGGGGAGAAGCTGCGGAGGAGGAGGAAGAGGAGAGAGCCTAGAGGAGAGCGGGGGGAGGAGGAGGAGGAGGAGGAGGAGGAGGAGGAGGAGGAGAGAGAGGTAGGAGGAGGGAGGAGGAGGAGAGGAGGAGGATGGAGGAGGGAGGAGGAGGGAGGAGGAGGAGAGGAGGAGGGAGGAAGGGGGGAGGAGGTGGAGGAGGAGGAGAAAGGGGGGAGGAGGGAGGAGGAGGAGGAGGAGGAGAGGAGGAGGAGGAGGAGGAGGAGGAGGAGGAGGAGGAAGAGGAGGAGGAGCAGGAGGAGGAGGAGGAGTAAGAGGAGGAGGGCGAGAAGGAAGAGGAGGAGGAGGAACTTCGAGGAGGATGAGGAGCTGCGAGGAGGAGAAGCTGCGAGGAGGAGGAGCAGGAGATGGAGGAGGACCAGGACGAGGAGGAGGAGGAGGAGGAGGAGGACGAGTGGGGGGTAGAGGGATGTGGAGGAGCAGGAGGAGAAGGTGGAGCAGGGGGGAAGGAGGAGGAAATGAAGGAGGTTGGAGGAGGACGAGACGGAGGGGGAGGAGGAGGAGAAGGACTAGGAGTAAGAGGAGGAGGGGCAGGAGGAGGAGGAGGATGAATGCGAGGAGGGAGCGAGCGAAGGGACGAGGACATGGAGGAGGGAGGCCGTCGCGAGGAGACCCCCGATCAGGCGCAGCAGGGCACCTCCTACCGCGACAGGCGCTCCGCCGACCAGCGCTCCCGCACGCCGCCGAGCAATGGGGGCGCCGCGCTGGGCACGCCGAGGAGCGGCGCGCGTCGTTGCCGTTGTGCCCCTGTCGGGGAAGCGTGCGTTCGGGAACGTCCGCCAGAGCGCCGAGTCCTCGTGGCGGGGGCTCGGCAGGGGTAGCCTGCAGTTTGGCGTTCCTCGGGGGCCCCAGCTGGAGGTGCCCCAGACCGCGGCTGTCCCGGATAATTCGGGCGTCCAATTTTGCGTGAAAAGGGGAGGAGGAGGAGGAGGAGGAGGAGGAGGAGGAGGAGGAGGAGGAGGATGATGATGATGGTGATGGTGATGGTGATGGTGATGGTGATGGTGATGGTGATGGTGATGGTGATGGTGATGATGGTGATGATGATGATGATGGTGATGATGATGATGAGGAGGAGGAGGATCAGAGGAGGATCAGTCGGAGGGGCGTTTGAGACACGGGTAGTTGGCCTTCGGGGGGGGGCCCTCGTCGCAACGGCTGGACGCATCGCGGAAAGCTAGTGCCCTTGAACCCTCGGAGGAGGAGGGGGAGGAGCGGGACGAGGTGGAGGAGGAGGTCGAGGAGTTCGAGCTGCGCGGGGTTGCCGCCGCTGCCAGCTTCATTCGATGCGATCGAAATGCGATGCTGCCTGCGAGATCGAACTCGCGACGGCTAAAACGCTAGATACGCAAGGAGGTGAAGGACTCGTCAGACACACTTCGAAGAAGAACACACCGCACAACCATAACATGTTCGGTGGTACTTGCTGAATTCTTGGATCAGCTCGAGCGCCGATCAAAAGCAAGCCGCGCGGACCTTCGACAACTTCTGTATTTGTAGATCTTGTTGGCATTGTATGTGGATGAGGAGGAGGAGGAGGAGGAGGAGGAGGAGGAGGAGGATGGGGAGGAGGAGAAGGAGAAACCGGCTGCCATAACAAGCGTCGCCTGAACCTGGGCACGATGCGAACAGGGAGGTGGCGACGAAGGATGTGTGGGCAGCGTTGTGAAGAGGATGGGGAAGACACAAGGCGTCGTAGCCGTCGTGCGTGGTCTTGTTGGGGAAACGTCACTACCTACTAGAACACCTCAGCTCAACCTGGAGGCCCCAGTTTGCCGTCATGTCCAGAGTCACTGCACCCCAAAACGTGAAAACCACAGAAACACGGACTGCAATCCGGACGCCCGCCAGCCCGAAATCCGCAGCTTCGGGTCGGGTCGGGCCGGGGCGCTGGACCCCCCTCCCTGGCGCGCCAGAGGCGGCGCCGGAGGCGCCGCCAGGGAGGGGGGCCCAGCGCGGATCCGAGAAATCCGCGCGGACCTGCGACTTTTTCGGTTTACGTCGTCATTCGTGCCCCTGCTTGCGGAGGGCGCGCCGCGCCGCCGGTTCTGGCCCCCGCCGCGCTGCGGCGCGGCACGCGATAGCCAGTTCTGCTTCCCTGGGCGGCCACGCCCCGAGTATTTCAGGAGGGAAAGAAACACACAGACACAATGAATCGGCGACTCCCCGAGAACATATGCGAAGATATGGGAAATGGGGGGGGGAGACAAACACCCAGAAAATATGGGAAAGTATGGGCCGGGCCGCGCTCATGGGGAGGAGGAGGATGGGGAGGAGGAGGAGGAGGAGGAGGAGGAGGAGGAGGAGGAGGAGGAGGAGGAGGGCGAATAGCGAGGAAGGAGGAGCGAGGAGCAAATAGCGAGGAAGGAGGGCCCACCCAAAAACCCAGAGAAAGCATGCTGAATAGTTTTATCTGTGTGTCTTTATTCGTGTGTCCTGGGGCCCCTTCAGTATAATCGGCGACTCCCCAGAACATATGCGAAGATATGGGAATTGGGGGGGGGAAGACAAACACCCAGAAAAGATTGGAAACTATGCTGAATAGTTTTATTTGTGTGTATTGATTTCTGTGTGTGTCTTTATCTGTGTGTCCTGGGGCCCCTTCCGTATTGTGGTTGTGCGAGCCCTCCCGTCCTGCCGGGGGCGGGGCGGCGCTCTCGCCGCTCGCAGGGCGGGAGCGTGTTTCGCCGGGGCCGCCGCCGCGCGACGCGCGAGAGGCCGGAGGTGCCGCTCGTGGCCGCGAGCTCTGTGCAACGATCCCATGAATCGGGCCGAGCGAAAGGGGGGGATTGGCGCTCCTGTTGGGCTCGCCCGCGCCGGGGCGCCCAGAAGTTGCCGCTCCGCGGGAGGCCCCAAAAACGGTGAGGCGGGCCGTGCGCCCGCCGCGCGCGCCACATCGGCCGCACGGCACGGCCCCGCGGACTTCTCGAGCCTGCCGGACATGCTGCAGCAGGTTCGGGCCGGGCGAGTTGGGGGGGGATTGGGAAAGGGGGGGTTACGAAATCTGCTGCATGCAGCTGGTTTCGGCCTCACCGAGGGGCCCATTCCTCGATGCATAGCCGCCTCCAGCGCCGGGAGGCGCCGGGAAACTCAGCTACCCGAGCTGATTCTCAAACCCCCCCTTTGCTATCCCCCCCTTTCGCCCGACCCGAGAGGGAACGCAAGACACGAGTTCGCCAGATCTCGGGCTTGCCTGCGCTATTTGACGGGGCCGTCCAGGAGATGGACGGTCCAGTTTCCCTGGGATGTCTGCTGCGGGAGCCCGCGTCGAATTGCAGTCCAGATCTCGTCGTTGCTTTTACGGCTCCGTCAGGCGAGCCCAAGTCCCACGAGCCCGAGTCTTGCGTATCCCCGATCTTGGGCGTCGTGGCCGTCATCCGCGAAAGGTGCCAACTCTCCGAGGAGAGGATCATTCCCCAGAGCCCACACCGTCAGCTATTGCACTGTGGAGGTGTAAGTTATGTGGTGCAAGCTACGTGATGTAAGCGATGCTGTGCAATATACGTGGTCCGATCAATGTGGTGTAACCAATCAATGGGTTGCGAAATCTGTGGTTCAAGATAAATATGGAGCGTAAGGCACGCATCATAGTTGAAGGTAGCGAGGGGAGGAGGAGTTGGAGGAGAAGGGGAGTAGGAGAGAGAGAGAGAGGAAAAAAGCAGGAGGCTAAGGAGAGCAGGGATCATTTGGTAACCCCCACGGTAATAATCCTTTTTGGGTGGAACCGTCACAACAATAAGGTTTGTGCACTGCAAAACGATTCAGTACCCCGCCGCAAAAGGAATCCCTGTGGGGAGCCGCCACGACAAGGTGTTGTTTGTTTTGGATTCTGGATGGGAGGCTGCATGTTTTTTGTGTTTCCTCTCCACGCCCTCGGAGGCCGAGTTTGTTTTTTGAGATTGAATGGCTTCATTCCTTCTCCTGGTCTCGTTCTGGGGCGGGAGGCGGGCGCCGCGGGGACAGAGGGGGCTAACAAACAGTGGAGCACGCCTGCCCTGTGCTGGACGCAAGAAGAAACGACCTCAGCCTTCCAGGGGCGTGACGGAACAAATGCGGACACCATTTCAGAGGAGGCGAGGAGAGGAGCAGGAGGAGGGGGAGAAGGAGAGAAAGAGAGAGAGAGAGAGAGAGATGTGAGAAAAAATGACAGAGAGATACGGAGAGAGATAGAAGAGAGAGAGAGAGAAAGAAAGAAAGAGAGAGAGAGAGAAACCATATAAGATAGTCTGCGATGAGACGCTACAGAGGAAAAGAGATGTATGACCTTGAGTGTGTGAGAAAGAGAGAGACAGAGTGAGCGGGCAGGAGATCATGAGAGAGGGAGAGAGAGAGAGAGAGAGAGGGAGCGACAAACAAAAACGAAACCGACAAATACGACGAGAAACGATGCGCGACTGGCAGATCAAGCGTGCACGCGGGTGCATCTCTTTTCCCTGCTTCGTCCAGCGTGTGCTCCGCGTGTGCGCCGCCGCGCGACGCGGCACGCCGTCTGCGCGCGCGGGCGCTGCACTCTGGGAGAGGCACCTGCTCGAATTCCAGGCCAGCCCCAGGGGCGCGCCCGTCGCAGCCTGGGTCCTTTGAGCTGGCCTTCTTCGGGGCGGCCTCGCGAGGGCGCGGAGGTAACCTTAGGTCGGGCATGGCGCGTCCCTCTACAGGAGGGAATGTTCCAACATTTGTATCAGCAAGCCGTTTGGGGAGGACTGTTATGTTGTTTTGTTTTTGGTATGTATGTGTGTGTGTGTGTTTGTGCTGACTCTGCCTGCTCCTTCTTACGGGATCCGCCTGTAGGAGGACATGCCCGACCTGAAGACAGCCGTGCGCCGCGCCTCGCGTGGCGCGAGGCGCGAAGCTCCTCCTCCTCCTCCTCCCCCTCCTCCTCCCTCTCCTCCTCCTCCCCCCCTCCTCCTCCTTCTCCTCCTCCTCCTCCTCCTTCCCCCTCCTCCTCCTCCTCCTCCTCCTCCTCCTCCTCTCCCCTCCTCATCTCCTCCTCCTCCTCCTCCTTCCTCCTCCCCTCCTCCTACTCCTCCTCCCTCCTCCTCCTCCTCATCCTCCTCCTCCTCCTCCTCCTCCTCCTCCTCCTCCTCCCCCTCCCCCTCCTCCCGTCGCGGGACGAGGCGACGGGCGGGGGGAACCGCTGCCGAGACGCGGGCCCGCAGGAGCGGCGGCGAGGACGGCGCCGCCACGCCGGCGGCCCCGGGCAAGGACGGCGCCCACCCCTTTTTTTTCGGGGGCGGCAAAGAGGGGGGTGATGACTAGGGGGGGGTGGATATCATGGCGGGGGCCATGATATCTCCCCAGATTTCATGGCGCCTCTTCTTATTTCATTACGTCCCGGGCCCCCCCGCTGGGCCGCGCACATGCCGCCGGCCATGATTTGCACCCCCCTCCCCAGAAATGTGGGAAAATGTAGGAAGTGGGGGGGAAGACAAAAACCCAGAAAATATTGGAACATATGGGGAATATTTCTATTTCTAAACCCATTTCGGGGGCAGCAATCCGGCGGGATTGTTTCAATCCGGCGGCACGTCTGGGGTTCCCCCCCCTCGAGCAGCGAAACAATCACGACGGGAGGTTTGTCGCCATGTTCGGCCTCTGGGGACCCTTGCTGGGCCGCGGGGCCGTCCACCAACGGCTTCTGGGAGGAGCAGCCGGTCCTGGGAAGGGGTCGAGACCTCGGGGGATCGACGTCGTGAAAAATCAGGAGGGGAAAAACACACAGACACAATTCATCTTCGATTCCCCAGAGAATATGGGAAACTATAGGAAGTGGGGGGGAAGACAAACACCCAGGAAATATGAGACGATATACGTTTTTGTTTGTATTTGTGTGTGTATATATATATATATGTGTGTGTGAATGTGTGTGTTTGTGGGCCCCTTCAAAAGAGGGGGTGATGATCAGGGTTCAGTCGGGCGTGCCTTTCTACATGTAGGATATTCAAGACTAGTCAACAAAACAATCTGGGGACGATGTTTGGAGTATTCTTGAGCATTTGTTGCATTTTTTGGGGGGTATTTTTTGTTCCGTCCAAAATTCGCCTGAGGAGGGCATGCCCGACCTAAGACTAGAGGGGGGTATTATGGCGGGGGCCATGATATCTCCTCAGCCTTCATGGCGCCTCTTCTTGTCTCAAGACGTCCCCGGCACCCCCCGGGACCGCGCACATGCCGCCGGCCATGATTTGCACCCCCCCTCTTGGACGCCCCCCTCTTGGCCGCCCGCGATTTTTGTTGTTGTCGTTCGCGTGGCCGAGGGGCTCGGCCTGACGGAAAGGGGCTTCCTACGCGGCGGCCGTTTTTGGTTGTTTCCCGAGTTTTGGTGTTCAAGATCTACGTTTGCTGTTCTTGGTGTTTGGTTTTTGTCCGTTTGAGGATTCTCGTTCGCAACGTCTTCGGTTCGGCTCAGTAGTTGCATTGCAGTCTTTGGGCTGCCATTCTCCGTTTCTCCCGCTTCTGTTGGGCGAACACCGAAAAGTTCAGAACGGAGAAACAGCGCCCCTCCAGCGTACTCAGCATCAACTAAGCTCCCCCTACCTCGAAGATCGAAGCTGCTGCATGAAGGGGCACTTTCCGAGGTCATCGCGGATTTCTTGGATTAGCATTGGCCCCCCCTTGCGACGCCTCCGGCGCTGTCCCTGGCGCGTCCTGTACGCCAGGGAGGAGGGTCTGGCGAAGACCGAAGAAGTCCGAGCGGACCTCCGTCAGTCTATCTCTATTCCGTTTGTCCTTCCTCTCTTCCCCGCTCTTCCTCCCTGCGCACCCCCTTCTCGAGTCTAAGCACGCAGGTCGGTGACTGGGCTAGACGTCGGCCAGGGCTGGCTATTGGGCAGGCTATGGGGCAGGTGGGCAGGGGCGGAATGGACTTCGAAGCAGGCCCAGTCGAAGAGCTGGCAAGATCGTCAGAGGAGGCATGGACCATCCTTTCTCTCCCTTCCGCCCTCCCCCATCGCCATGGAGGACAGGGCTTCTATGGGATCCGTACTTTACTCTCCAGGGCTGTCGCCAGGACCAGCTGTTCTTCCTCGAGCCGTTTTTTTTCTGTCACGGGCTCGCGCCCACCGCGTGCTCGTCGTCTGCGTCGGCGTCGGCGTGGTCGTGGTGCGTGCGCCTCTGCTCTGGATGTGCTTCCTTTCTGCAGTGGCCGCTACCGCCACCACGTCCTGGTTCCCCTCTCGCCACTACACGCCCTTCAGGGGAATCAGCAATGACATAAACATAAAAACTCGGAGGTCCGCGCGGATTTCTCGGATCCGACTTGGGCCCCCCTCCTTGGGGCGCGGAGCGCGCAAGTGGCGGCGCTGGAGGCGCCGCCAGGGGAACCCAACGCGGATCTGAGAAATCCGCGCAGACCTCCGAGTTTTTATTTTTATGTAATTGGAGCCCGTTTCTTTATTGGTTGGGGCATGACGGGCGTCATGGGCCGCGGCCCTCCCCCCCTATGACGTAACGCTCCCCCCCAGTGCGTTGCACTGCCGCCGTGCGCATCGTGATCCGCATAGGTGTCCGCATAGGAATCCGCATGGGAGTCTGGTCCGCAGTCGTCGTCGTCGCCGTCGTCGTCGTCGTCGCCGTCGTCGTCGTCGTCGTCGTCGTCTTCGTTGTCGCTCGTCGATCGTCGCGCGTCACTCGTCGCTCATCGTTGTCGTGCGCGCGGGCGCAGCTGGAGCCTGTTCTTTCATTTGAGCCGATGGCGTCACGTTTCGCGCCAGCGGCGTTTGGGAATGCCTAAGAGTCACCGAGGATGGTTAGCAGCAGCATGTCGGTGGCGATTTGCACCACAACGCTTGTGCACACCAAGTGCCTGCGTGCACCACAGCGCCTGTGTACACCACACCGCCACTGTACACCACAGCAGCCGCGTGCATCACAGTGCCAGTGTGTGCCACAGTGCCTGCGGGCACCACAGCGATTGTATACACCACAGCGCCTGCGCACACCACATCAGCCGTGTGCAACGCAGCACCAGTGTACACGACAGGGGGGAAGGGTGAGGGAGGAGGGAGAGGAGGACGAGGAGGAGGAGGGGGACGAAGAGGAGGAGGAGGAGGAGGCGGAGGTGGAGAAGGGCGGAGGGAAAAACGTCGCATTTTATTCTCCGCACTTTCCTGGCGTGGCGTTTAGCTGTCCGCAGCAGATCCTCACCGACATGCTCCATCTACCTGTCCTGTGCACGCAGGCGCTCTGGCGTACACCAGCGCTTCGTTGCACGCGGATGCTGTGGTGTAGACAGGGGCTGTGGTGTGCACAGGTGCTGCGGTGCACGTAAGCATTGTGGTGTAGACAGGCGTTGTGTTGCACATGGCTGATGCGGTGTACACATTCGCTGTGGTGTACACCGGCTCTGTGGTGCACGCAAGCATTGTGGTGTATACAGGCGCTGCGTTGCACACGGGTGTTGCGGTGTACGCAGGCGCTGTGGTGTACACAAGCGCTGTGGTGCACGCGAGCACTGTGATGTACACAGGCGTTGTGGGGCAAATCGCCACCTACATGCTGCTCGTGTCGTCGTCGTCGTCGCTCGTCGCTCGTCGCTCATCGTTGTCGTGCGCGCGGGCGCGGCTGTGGTGCCTGAGCCGCACGGCGGGGGGGGTTGTTACGTCCCCCCCCCCCCCCCCGCCCCACCCCTCCCATGACGCCCGTCATCGCCGATGATAACGAAACGCGCTCTTGTTCGTTCCCCCAACACCCCCTTGCCCCCCCCGGCACCGGGCGGGACGACAGCAATGCGGCGGCCGCAGCGCTCCACGTACCGGGACCGCCGCGTCGGCAACTCGCGCGAGCACGGCGCGAGCGCCCGGCAGGCGCCGCGGCCGCCTGTTCCGAATGCTTCGCTTCCGCCGCCACGGATGGTAACGCGCTTTGGGGGAGGAGGACGAGAACGAGGACGAGGACGAAGACGAGTAGGAGGAGGAAGAGGAGGAGGAGGAGGACGAGGAGGAGGAGGAGGAGGAGGAGGAGGAGGAGGAGGAGGACGATGAAGAGGACGATGGAGCGGAGGAGGAGGAGGAGGAGGAGGAGGAGCAGGAGCAGGAGCAGGAGCTTGGAGCAGGAGCAGGAGCAGGAGCAGGAGCAGGAGGAGGAGTTGAGGTTTCACATGAAGGGGTCTTGGAGGTTGTTTGCCACTCTTTTGCCTGCCTGTTTGAAAACGACTCAGGATGCAATGCCGGCCCGGGGGAAGGCATTGGGGTCCAGCACCCGTTTCTCTCAGGACCCGTTTTCTCGACGACAAGTTAAGGAGAGGAGTCCTGAGGGAACGTTGGCTGCTGCGGAACGGGGTGTGTGAAGTAACGGGGGGGTGGATATCATTATGGCCGCGGCCATGTTGCCTCCAAGGTTTCATGCCCCCCAACGGTCCGACCACCCCTGCAAATATTCCGGCGAGGGCAACCCGCGAAAAATTCCCCCCACCCCCACCCCCATTTCGAAACACACACGTCGACTGGTTCGAGCAGCTGGAGACCTGGGCCTGGGTGCCCTTGTGCAAAGAGCGTGGTGGGATCGCCTCTTGCCGCTCCACGCTCAGTCCTGAGCAGGCGTGCCAAGGCCCCGACCACATGCCCCCGCGGCCCCCCGGGCCGCCTGGAGCGTCGCCCGGGCCCCTCCGAGCACCAGGCGCGCACTGCAGCCGCGTGCGCTGGGCTGCGCCTTCGCCGCCTGCGCCTCGCGGCAGCGGGCGGTGCCCGCTGCCGCCGCGGCGCTCCCCGTTGCCCGCGGCCCTCCTCCCCTCCCACAGCGGCGCGCCGCGACAGCCCCGCGCGCGCCGCGGCCGCCCGAGCACCAGCCGCGGGCGGCACCACCCCGCCCGAGGCCGCGCCTCTCGTTTTGGGGGGGGGCGCCCGCGGACCGCCTGCACCGGCTCCCCTGCCCAGTGCGCCCTGCCGTCGCGTCGTGAGGCAGTGGGCAGGAAGTCGTTTTCGGGGGCGGCAAGGACGGGGGGTGCTGACTGGGGGGGGGTGGATGTCATGGCGTTGGCCATGACAGTTCCCCAGATTTCATGGCGCCTCTTCTTATGTTATGATGTCCCTGGCCCCCCCCCTGGGCCGCGCGCATGCCGCCGGCCGTGATTTGCACCCCCCCTCTTGGACGCCCCCCTCTTGGCCGCTCCCGATCTTTCACCATATGATCGTTTCTTGATTCACTGTTTTGCCGATCGGCGCGGGCCCTCGCACCCGCCATCCCCCATGGAGTAGATCTTGGCTGGTTTTGTGGTGCCTGTTTCACGCAAGGTGGAGGCTCCCCTAGAGGACGCACTGCTGCAAACAGTCGCACTAAGCAGAGGTCGGGAGCCAGACCCCCCCCCCCTTTCCGCCCAATGCCGAAGCGCCGAATTACAAACAACGCCCACTATTTTCTGCCGCTGGGAGCCCCCGCCCAAGGGAAAGCACCAGCAAGCATGGGCAGGGAAGGCTGACGCGGCCAGGGAGCAAGGAAAGTCCCCATCACCACCACCAGTGCGAGGCACCAAGGAGGGTCCTCCTTGTGGCGTGGCCCCCCCCTCTCGCGCGAGGCATCCACTAAGTCGGGCACGTCCCTCAACAGGAGAAATGCTCAAAAATGGCCAAAACATAACAGGGACGGCGATGTTTCAACTGTTGCTCGACTATTGTGGAGCATTCCTCGACTTTTGTTCTCTTGCGCCCCAGATCCGCCTGGAGGGGGACAGTGCCCCACCGAGGCCTGATGGCGTGGTCCCCACCCCCCTCGCTCGAGGCATCCGCTGGCCTCCGCTCGGGGCGGCGGCGTGGACACACCGTAGGCGATGTCTGAGAAAACGCACGTTTTCGGCAAGAGTCTCGATGATTCTTAATGTTTCAGTGTGAATCCTAGGATTTTAATAGAAAGTCTAGGTTTTTTACTCGAATTCTGAAACTATGAATTTCTTAACCCATGATTTCTTAAGCATTTCGCAGGGTGCACTCCCGCTGGAGGTGCCCCCCCCTGGCGGAGGTGGTGCCGCCCCCTCCTCCCTCCTCCGAGCCCCGGGCCCCCGACGTCACGGTGATGCTATGACCTCAGAGCGTGAGTTACCTGCCCCGCGGTCGCTTCCGGGCAAAACCAAGCCGTACCACGCGCCTCCTCGTCCAGCGGCCTGACCAGTACGGGCTGCAATTGGGCATCGTCTGGTGTCTCTTGGACGCGAGGGTGGCCAAAAGCGAGGTAGGTTTGTTTTCCCCCTAAATGACGTCGGCTTCTGGAGGCCTCGACCCGTTCGCAGGGCTCGTTTCGGTTCCTCCGCTTTTCGATTCGACTCGCCTTCGTTGGCGTCTGATGCCGATTGGATTCGGCCTCGAACTCCGATCCGGGATCCGACTTCTCAACGGAGACCGACCAGCCTGTCGATGTCGGCCATCTTCGTCTTATTTCGACTTGGCTGCCGATTTCCGCCGATCCGATTCACGTCGATCGCAAATCCGACTTGTCGATTTGATTCTGGGCTCTCCTGCCAGTTGCCCGTCCCCAGTCGTGCTTTGCAGGCCCCGGTGGCCGGCGAGGTCTCCCAGAGGCAGGAACTGCGAAACACCTCCAGTCGTGACTATCTCATGACCCGAGGGGGTCTGGGATGGGTGCGTCGACAACGATAACAACGAGAACACCGATCACAACGACAACGATAACAACGATCGCAGCGACGACGATATCAACGACAGCGAAGATAAGATCACTCACGCCGAAACAACGCCACCGATAGCCAGTAACGACAACAACGACAACAGCGATCACAGCGACAGCATCAACGAGAGCAACGATGACAGCAACGACAACGGTAGCAACGATCGCAACGACAACGAGCACAGCGACACCGAGCACAACGACCACGAGAAGAGAGGGCCCGGGACCGGTGCGGCTGGTCGGCCGACCCGCGGCAGCGGCCCCAGACACGTCGTGTCCTGAGTTGTCCCGTACTGTGGAGGCCCATGTTACGAAACACCCTGCTTGCCTCCAGGGTGCCCTGGGTTTCTTGGGTTTCGATGGTTTGGCGATGGCAGGCGTGCCGTTCCCACACCAACAATCAGCGGACGTCCTGGGGGTCTCAGGGTGGGGTCTCATGTGGAAGGCTTCTTGTGCTGTCGGGTACGGGGTCCCCGGACGTCCCGGACCTTTCCCCTGACGGAGCTCTTCATCCCGAGTCGATGTCCCGGGGCCTGGCGAGGGCCCCCAGAGGCCGACAACGGGGAGGAAGAGGGGGAGGAGGGGGAGGAGGGGGAGGAGGAGGAGGAGGAGCAGGAGGAGGAGGAGGAGGCGGAGGAGGAGGAGGGGAGGAGGGGGAGGAGGAGAAGGAAGGGGAGGAGGGAGAGGAAGGGGAGGAGGGGGCTCGAGAGTTCCATCTCGTGCTCGATTCTCATCCATCCACCGTCCCGACGCCCCTCCCGTCACACCGCCGCCATGGCCTCGCAGAAGAGCCTCGACAGCGCCTTCGCATCGGCCGCCAGGCGAGGACCTTCGGCGTCTCCAGTGAGAGAGAGAAGCTCGAAAAATCCAACGCCTGAAGGATTCGTGTTGCTCTCAGACGCCGGGATCAGGATCTCAAGACGGCCCCGCCACAACGCAGTCTCCGAACGTGGACCGAATGGCTCTAAAGTCCGACCTCGAGGATTTCAAAAAGCAGGTCAACAGCGAGGTGAAGGTCAGTGTCTCCGAAGCTGCGAACCAGTTGGAAGAAAACTCGGCAACGAGTTGGGTACTCGTGTTCCAAGCTGGAGTCTCAGCCGTTTGTCTCGGACATTCCCAACAACGGCATCAGGGTCATGCAGAGTCATGCCAATCGCTTCGACGTCGTATTTCCTTTGTGGGATGGCCTGATGATACCGACGCCGACGCGTGCATACAGTCGGACCGAGTTGTAAGATCGAGGTCGGTTCGGGGAGGTTACCCTAATGTTTTTCGTGGCTGCTGGATGTTATTGTGCATTCTGGGGGAGGGTACCCTAAATAATCCCGGGGGTTGGGGTGTGTTGGCTGGCGGAGGGTCTCATATTCTTGTGTTGGCTGGTTGAGGCTGTCCGCAGGGTTCGCGTCTTCGGTTGTGAGTATCATGGGCCGTATTTGGGCTGGAAGCTTTCTAAGGGGTCTTGGGTTGAATTCTCCAGCGTGGACGTGGCAAACTGGTTCTTATCGCTTGTTTCAAGGTCAAGCTTAGCACTGAGGACAAGAACCTGCCGACCAAACTAGCCCGCACGGAGTGGCAGCGCAAGCGGAAGTACGCCGCTCGCATGGCCGAGTCACTCTTCAAGGACTCCGACGCCGCCTTTGGCAAGGAGGTCAAGATCGAGCGGAAAGTGCAGGACTCGCGCGAGCGCCGCGTGACAGTGAACAGCATTCATGCTTTCAAGCAGGACGATATCATCGCCACCGGCATGTTCTTCGAGCCCTTTTTTGACAACTTCGTGATCCCTTAGGGGGTTCCCGGGGCCGCTCATCAAAGTACAGTGGCAACCCATGCCAAGAATCACCCCGCTTGCCTCCAGGGTGCCCTGGGTTTCTTGGGGTTCGATGGTTCCACCATTGAAAGCGTGATGTCCCCATACCAAATCAGTGGACGTCCTGGGGGGGTCTCAGGGTTGGGTTTGATGTTGAAGGTTTCTCGTGGTCGAGCTCAATTGTACTTGTTCTCAGAACCTACCACTTCGCTGTCACTGGCCCGCCCGTTTCCCTGAGGCAGATGAGCGGCCACGACCGTCGATGTCCCGGCGTCTCCGTCGTCGTGGCCCTCGCTTTGCTCAAGGCTTTCATCTTTGGCAACACGCGTGGCTACGCTCGTCTGGCCGTCCACACCCTCCAGGCGACATCCCTTGGAAGTCCGA